CGTAGTTCCAGCACCTCTTGTGCAGCTCCTAAAGCGCACCGACCTGTTCCCTTTTTGAAGTACCAGCGAACGAGCCATCAGGACTCGAAGCAACACCCAGTGCCGCTACCTTCACCAAGTACTCCACACGCGATGGCCAGTGCCACCTCCTCAGCTCCCAGAGCTCTACGTTTCGCAACCACCCTCTTCATGTGCCTTCGACTCCCTCGCGTCCTTGCATGTGCCAGCGCACTGCGGTTCTATTGGCGAGAGCACCTTCAGAGCAGCTCGAAACCTTGCAAACTTGACAGCTCCCAGAGCCTTTGTCATAATGTCCGCAATCATGTCGTTAGTACCCACGTGCTTCACGTCCAACTCCTTCTTCTCCACCAAGTCACGAGACACGTGGAACTTATTCTCGATGTGCTTCGTTTGGCTGTGCTTGCCCGGACGCGCAGTCATGTAAATGGAGGCCATGTTGTCGCCTAACAGTAACGGTTTTGTGTACTCCCACTGGAGCTCGTCACAGAGTTGGCGAACCCATTGCAAATCCTTGATACCTTCGGCCATCGCAACATACTCAGCTTCTGTCGTACTCTGCGCGTTCAAGCCCTGCTTACGTGAGGCGTAGGAAATAACGTTGCCATCAATCATGGTGACCTAGCCACTAATACTCTTCCGATCATCAGGATCGTTGGCGTAATCTGCGTCCGTGTACAGCACCAACGTCACGGCCTTGACCTCACTCACGTCCATCACCAGTTTGTAATTTGCCGTAGCCTTCAGATATCGTAGCACATAACTTGCCAACTCGTAGTGCGTAACATTAAAGTTCGCCAAGTGCTTACCCAAATTCCTCACGGCATGAGCGATATCAGGCCTGGTGCCCGAAACTAAGTAGCCTAGTGCTCCCACTAACTCACGATAGGGTAGCGTTGCGTCGCCCTCAGCAGGCTCGCGTACCTGGAGTGTCCCAGACGGCTCTGGCGTCTTAGCTCCGCGGCAACTTTTCATGTGAAACTTCAGCAACAACTCCTTGGTGTACTGTTCCTGACAGTAAGTTACACGCTTAGCAGCATGGTCGATCGAAATCTCGATCCCCAACAGGTACTTCACCTCTCCCAGCGAGTTTAACTCGAAGTCCTTGCGCATCAGTGCAGCCACCTCCGCACACAACTCCTTGGGACAGATCAACAGCAGGTCGTCCACATACACGGTGATCAGCATCGTGATTTCTCCTACCACTTTTCGGGCATACAGGCCTCGGTCTTTCTCCATGCGCTCAAAACCGAGTTTCGACAACTTGGCGTGAAGCGTCTGATTCCAAATCAGCGGCGCATGCCTTAAACCATACAGACTCTTGAGCAAATGGCACACATCGTCATCGTCGCCCTCCTCCAAGCCGTCCGGTCGTACCATGTAGATAGTCTCCTGCAGT